CATTCCAACTAAAAAAAGTACTAAGCATGTTTGCGTTTAGCACCTTTCTAACAATCGGGTAAAAACAGACACACTCAATAATAGTTCACGCTTTAAACACTAGATGCCCTCAAATATTGGCGTGTTTATACTATTATGAGAGACTTCTGATGTCATTTTTGCCATACTTAATAAGCAACGACTTCTTTCACTCAAACCAGTTTTGACACAAAGATTTGTTTCGTGCTCTTTTCACAGTTTAAGGCATATAAACAAAATAGAACAACTATTTATTTTCTTTTAAATAAAATAATAGCTAATGTGTTCACATGTTGAATGGTTTTATACGAACCGTTTCTGGAGACGACGTTTCGGACTTTGTGCTGCGTTATTCATTAGATCTGAGAGTTAATTAGGAAAGTACCTTCAACACCAGACAGAAGGCAGGAGCAGTCCATAATAAACCAATCAATAGTTACTTTTTTTTAGAAACACTTTCATGCCAGGTACGAGCGTGGCCTAGTGGTTAGCGTGGCGGACTGTGAACTCGTTATAAAATTGACAGTCAAATACAATTATTTTATTAGAGTAACCCAAGAGTTATTGGTGAGTTGTGTTGACTACCTGCCATCCCTCTATTCTGTCACTTCCAAAAGAATGGCTGGCACAGGTAGCCCTTGTGAATATTTTACGAATATCCTCATCACTTTTGACGCAATACAGGGGTGTTTATCACGCAATTTTGTTTTTCTATCTAGAGATTTGTAGGCTTGCTGAAATTATTCAATTTTTAGCTTGTGCATCTGGCTTTGACCACTGACTCTTTTATCTTATTGTGTAAGCATCCGTGGAAGACTTATTTAAGAAATGCTTCTGTATTTTTGAGAGCAATGTTAGTTTGAGCTCTTGAGTGCGTGATGACGTAATGGCTTCATTCAGTTTCCTTGTTTTTAATTGGCTACTGTACCGCTGCCTGAAGATGTAAGACAGATCATTGTTTATATGCAGTTTAAATCATTGTTTAATGGCACTTTCTCAAGCTTTTTATTGTTAATGGAATTGAAATAATATTTTAAATACCTTATTTTGTGAGAGGTAGATTTGTCTAGAAGATGGTTGTGGTTAAAGTAAGTAATACTTCAATATTATTATATAACATTCATAATATATTGAGGATAATATTAATAATTTTCTGGTAGGATTTACCTTGATTAAACTAGATAGCCATAACAAACTTAAACAAAATTAACCTATAATAGTGATAGAACTAAGTTCTGAACTTATTTTAATTTTCTTAACATAGGTAGTTGGACAATCATCCTAGATAGTAGGACAACCAGTCAAGATAGCTGTTTATTAAGCCTTATAAGTAAATTACTAACATAAATCATTAGAAAATAACCAGTGATTGTAAGTCTAATATTTACAATTTCGCTGATTTATTTTTCGATCTGATATCTTTTCGAGATGACACCATTACATATTCGACACTGAAGTTGGAAACAAATAATACCTGGTCAGAGAGGAACTAGTGTTAATACACAATAGGGAATAAACTTGTGCTTCGCGTACAATATACATACTAAATCATTTTTTAGGGGGAAAAAATGGATATAGACGGGACTGAATCCTCGACATCCTGCATACGAAGCGCGTGCTGTGCCATATGTGCCAAAGCCCAGAGATTTCTTCCACATATGCAGCATTATTAAATCAAATGCTGTATATATGAGAATGCTATATATTTTAAATAGACAAATCCTTTAAATAATGCTGTTGTGGTATTTAGGTTTAAAGCAAAGAAGTGTAAAACCCAACTGTCTTCATTTGTCGCTATTTCACTAATTTTTCTTTTTCCTTCCATAATGGTATCAACTCTTTTTTCTTTTTTTTTTTACTTTTGCCTAAAGTATTACTATTAGCAAACGTTTGATACATTATCACCAATAACTTCAGGCCTAATTGTCTATTTTTGTGGCATCAATAAGTGTAAAAATTAACTGTCTTCGCTTGTCGCTATTTTATTTATTTTCTTTTTTTCCTTTCATAATTGTATTAACTTTTTTTTCTTTTTCATTTTTTACTATTCTCTAAAGTATTAACAAATCGTGGGATCCAGTACCTATAATTAACGGAAAGAGGGTAATATTTTATTACCCTTGTTCTTCGCGTACGAAGCGTATTTTAAACTTTAGGTTTTATTGTCGATTGGCAGGCGCCTATACTTAGACAGTTGGACGCGAATAATAGTTATAAAATAATGAATTTTTAAGATTGTTGTAGCACAAGGTTTAAAAATCAGTTGTCGTCATGTCTTTCTTTTGTTTTTGTTTTTTGTAAATTTCTTGTATGTACATGTGTCTAAATCGCGTTTGAATATCATCTGAAACTTGTAATTATTTTCTTTCGCGCAATGTGTTAGCTGTATGGGATCGAAAACTAACTAGTAAGGGTAACTGCCGTTTATTTAGCGGATAAACAGCGTACGAAGTCTATTCAAACTTTTTATATAAAAAAACCGTTGTTGGCACAGATTTGTACTCCTGATGATGGTAGCGGAAGCTACAGAAACATGTAACATTTTTTAAATTTTATTGTGTAATGTAAACTTTGTGTTGTCTATATTTTTAAATTAAGTTTATTGCACAATGTTGCCCGATTTATATTTAATATTGGGTGTTATTGTAACAACGTAATTTTAAATTGAAATATAAAATAAAACATCTATTCTCTAATGTACAAAGTGGACAACAGTAAATTCCGATAAAACTAGCTAAGAGATACATCTTTACTAGCCATATAATCAGCTAAACAAATCCCTTCTCCTTTGACACAGCACCCAGAGAAAATAAGCATCCCTATATAATACCTTGCATGAAGTTTCTATAATATTTCCAAGGTGTGCAAGTGATAGTAAAACAATAAAACAAATCCCTTATAACTTAGAGAAATGGTTGAGCAAATGAGCTTTCTATGAGCGTTCCAAGGTAGGGCCCTGAGAGGAAAGTAAAATAAAAATCCATCCTAATTTAGAGAAATGATTTAAATCAGATTTTCATTTTGTAACTTAGAAAAATATACAAAGGTTGATTAATTATAATTCAAATGAGTTTTATTTATATCCAAAGATTAGGTTGACATCTAATAAGTCTCAACTGTACAAACAATCAAAGAAGTAGCTTAAACGTGAAACATTATTCAATTTCGTGATTTTAAGTATTTTTAAGAATATGTAACGCTAAACATTGAAGTCTGAGAATTAATGTTCAAATATTTACTCAAGACAATAGTGTTGGATCTATATTTGTTCAACTTAATGTATACTATAATTTGGCTTGTGTCAGTATGTCTTACTTGTCCGTGACGAAAATTTTCCAACTGCCCTTTAATGGTGTTTAATAAGTGTTTGTTATTTTTATTGAACTTGTTGTCTCTTTTGATTTCTTTCACGTAAATTTCTTTGAGTATTTAAACAAGTAGTTTTTATAATAATGGATATAAATAAAGCTTTTTTTTTTCAATATTTCGTTGTTAGCCCGGAAATTTGTACTTTGTACATTACTTACCTCCTAAAGTTACTGAGTCCTGGTTTTAGATGATCATTCGTTAAAAACGTTTGTATTTAGATCTCATTCTTATAGCACACCCAACTGGTAGTGAACTGAGAAACCTTGAATTTATAGTTCACTTAGCCATGCCCAGTCCATTTTAAACATAAGAAGGTTTTTAAAAAATATCACTTGAGAAATGAATTGTATAATATTTAATAAATTCATGCAGTTGCTAACTATATGATGTAATTATCATTAAAGTAGCAACTGTGCCATGACTAAAGATCAGAAAACATCATTCACATAGAGATAAGATATACTTGTGAATAAAGAGCAATGTTTCAATAAAGGAAAACATATTGGTAAGGAGCAGTGTTCCAGTTGTTACGACAGCGGAAGTCACGTGACGCTGGTAACACGTGATGAATTTCTCGAATGATCAGGAATTATCGGGGAAGACCGAATTTGTTCAGGACGCCCTCTTTTTTAGTATATAAGCCTGGTGGCGAAAGCCTATGGGATTGAATGAAGAGAGATTTGGGTACTTTACGATTCTGTTTCGAGCTAGTGTGTGTTTTGTTATCGAGATTGTGAATTGTTGTGATTTATAGCGTGTATTATAAAAATAGTTAATTTAAAGTGACGAGAAATTACTGTGTACTAAAAGTTTGTATCGAGAAAGAATAAATTGGTTTAAACCAGAAAGGACTTGTATCGCCGAAGTTCCTCGGAAAGAATTTCTACCGGAAATTAACAAACAAGCAGATAGGCAACACAGTAAAGGAAGAAACGCTTGTGAATAAAGAGCATTGTTGCAGCAAAGAAAGGTATTTTAAATATTTTGTTCAAATTAGAAAAAGAAAAGCTTTCTCAACAAGTTTAGTATTCATTATTTTATATTCCATTTAAATGAATCGAAATTTCATCCCATCCAGAATATCAAGACATTGGGGTGAAAGTAAAGGAAGATATACTTGTTAATTAGGAACAATTTATCAGTAATGAAAGATTTAATTGCGAATAAAATGCATTGTTTCAGTAAAAGAAGATATCCTTGTGAAATAGGAGCATTGTTGCAATAAAGGAAAGTATTATAATATTTTTTTTTTTCAAATTAGAAAAAGAAAAGCTTTCTTAACCAGTTTAGTATTTATTATTTTATGTTCCATTTATAACAATCGAAATTTCATTACATCTAGAAGATTAAGACATTGGGGTGAAAAAACAAAACAAACTACATGAGGCCATAAGTCATTGGTCATTTACATCAATATTACAGATAATCTATGTTTACAGCGAAACAAAGTTGATATTATACATATTTTTAAATTAGGTATTGTTATCATAATGGTAGGTAAGCAGGACGTCAAGATTAATTGTTTTTAAAGTGAAAACGATTTGTAAAGAGACTAATGATAATATTTGTGAAATATCTGATTTATGTTTAGTTCCGAAACTGATGACTGACCATTAAAGCACATTTCTCTCCAGATATTAAATTGATAAAAAAGAATGATGGGTACTTGACTTTTAATCTAATGGTATACTTATAAGACACACATGAGGTCAATATTCTCGACTCCCAAAGCAAACAAGGTACGTTTCTGTATAATTATTTTCCCCTTTTCATTGGAGACCATTCTCCGAAGCCTTCGTCAAACACGTCTTCGTCGAAACCGCGTGAATCAATCTCCGGAAATTTTCGTCGTAGTCGTACATCTGAATCGGTGTCCAAGTAAGTGTTGTAACGGGCAGCATTAGTGAATGGTAAGTTCCTGAACAACGAAGCTGTTGGCCGTTGACGAACAAAAGCATCGAAAATAAGATTTCTGTTGTCTCCTACGGCCATAGGGTGTTGATGATTACCCATGGAATTTCTGAGAATGGCTATCATCTTATTTTTTGTCAACTTTTCTATTGGAACCCCTGCGTTACGACTTTTGTATCCGAATGGAACAATTTTTCCACTGGAACCAAAATACCACAAATGATCCGGAAATGTTAGTTCTTGCAGTGCCACCTCTCTCTGTGATCTGTGAGCATTAGAATGAGGAAAGTATATAAGCCACAGGCAAAGCCCAAACGCTGAAGACACACTTCTTGACATTTCCTGTAAGGAAAAACAACACTGGGTTTAGACAGCGAATCCAATGAAAAACAAAGACACTGAAATATACTGATTAATACATCTTAATTTGAATATTTTAAACAATCATTATTCTCTATGATGACGAAGTATCATGTGGCTTTGTTTTACAAAGAGGTAATTTTAAAGCGTTGATTGAGCTTATGCATGTTTGCACTCATGATAAAAAAAAGGACTAAACGAAACTTTTGAAACAGCTTTCATGTATCAGAAAACGAAATTTTAATGACTAACAATGAAACAAGCCGTTCCGTTTCGGTCTCAACACTATTCTTTCTTAAGGTCTGAATTCTGTCTCTTTTTGATAAATTCCAATCACAACGAACTTTAACTGTTAATTTATTTTGACACAAAACGTTTAATGTGTTTGTTACCATAAGCAAAAAAAGTAGCAAAACGTTTATTGTGTTTGTACCATAAGCAAAAAAGTAGCATATATGGTAACAAACACACTAAATGTTTTGCTACTTTTTTTGCTTATGGTAACAAACACACTAAACGTTTTGCTACTTTTTTTGCTTATGGTAACAAACACACTAAACGTTTTGCTAATGGTAACAAATACGCTAAACGTTTTGCTACTTTTTTGCTAATGGTAACAAACACACTAAACGTTCTGCTACTTTTTTGCTTATGGTAACTAACACACTAAATGATATGCTACTTTTTATGCTTATGGTAACAAACTCAATAAACGTTTTGCTACTTTTTTGTTTCCGTTTAGTGTGTTTGTTACCATTAGCAAAACGTTTAGTGTGTTTGTTACCATTAGCAAAACGTTTAGTGTGTTTGTTACCATAAGCAAAAAAAGTAGCAAAGCGTTTAGTGTGTTTGTTACCATTAGCAAAAAAAATAGAAAAATGTTTAGTGTGTTTGTTACCATTAGCAAAAAAAAAAAAAGCAGCAAAACGTTTAGTGTGTTTGTTACCACAAGCAAAGAAAGTAGCAAAGCGTTTAGCGTATTTGTTACCATTAGCAAAACGTTTAGTGTGTTTGTTACCATAAGCAAAAAAAGTAGCAAAGCGTTTAGTGTGTTTGTTACCATTAGCAAAAAAAATAGAAAAATGTTTAGTGTGTTTGTTACCATTAGCAAAAAAAAAAAAAAAGCACCAAAACGTTTAGTGTGTTTGTTACCACAAGCAAAGAAAGTAGCAAAGCGTTTAGTGTGTTTGTTACCATTAGCAAAAAAAATAGAAAAATGTTTAGTGTGTTTGTTACCATTAGCAAAAAAAAAAAAAAGCAGCAAAACGTTTAGTGTGTTTGTTACCACAAGCAAAGAAAGTAGCAAAGCGTTTAGTGTGTTTAAATTCG